GGTACTTAACTTCCCGAATGGAACTTATTTTAAGGAGTTTGGATATCTCGTCTTTGATGAATGCATGCTTGACTTCGGACTGAGGCCTCCTTTTCTATTTAACCAGATGGAAATTCGGATCGAAGCTCAGCTTATGAGTGGTTATTTCTGGTGGGATCCCTATCATATCGAGATGGGACGAAGCAAAATAATCAATGTTAGCTATAAGGAATTCGTTCTTTCCTAAGCTCGGGAGTTAGCCCCGTGCCTAGGTATACCTTCCTATCGGGCAAGTGTTTGATCAATATGAATTTCTCCAGCTCCTCAAAATCATCAGGGGTGATAAATGACCTAGGGACTCCGTAATCATCATCCTCACCTGCTCCTTTCTTCTTCGGTTCGGTCGAGGCCAGTATCAGTTATTGCTATTTAGTTTCTTCCTTCCTAACCAGCTTCGTGTTCTTTGATGTCAAGAATGCGGACATCGGGATCTACCTCATCGACCACGAACATTTCTTTTACGGCTGGCTGATCCCCGTAAACCATCTTGATTCCTCCTAGTGTGGGGAACTTCAGTGCCTGGTGTAGTGTTGAGGGTACTGCCCTCATATTGTGAATCCACGGTCAACCAAATAGAGCATTATATCTCATATCTCCCTCGATCACATAGAATTTTGTTTCCTGAGTGGTCCCAGTTGTATTCATCGGTAGGGTTATTTCCCCTTTAGTAGGTTCGCATGCCATGTTGAATCTATTCAAACCCCGCACTGATGGCACTATTTGGTCTTGTAGACCCAGCTGCTCTGCAACCCTCGATCTGATGATACTAGCCGAGCTACCTGGATCAATCAACACACGCTTAACTTGAGATTTATTTATGAGTACAGATATTACCAGTGCATCATTATACGGTTGTAAGATGCTTTCGACGTCCTCGGCATTGAAAGAAATGGTCCCTTCCTGGATATAATCTCGGGTTCATTTTTCCCTTGTGATAGACACTTTAGTGCGCTTTAGAATTTGTCCCTGGGGGACGTCGACTCTACCAATGATCATGTTAATGACGTGCTGAGGTTCCTCTTGTTCGGTCTGTTTGTTGGAGTCCCTAATCCTGAAGTGATTTTTGGCTCGATCACTCAGAAATTCCCGGAGGTGCCCGTTATTGAATAACTGGGCCACTTCTTCTCTTAGTTGTCGGTAGTCCTCGGTCCTGTGGCCATGAGTGTCATGATACTTACACATTAGGTTAGGGTATCTCTGGGTAGGGTCGGACTGCAATGGCCGAGGCCACTTGGTATCTTTGATGTGCCCGATGGAAGATACGATGCTGGCAGTATCGACATTGAAGATATTCTGATAATCTTGATTCCTCTCTGGCCCCATGTGGCCTGTCGAACAATTTTTGCTCATGAGTCCCCAGCTATTGTGGCCTCAATAGTTTCTTTTTTCATTTCTCGCAGGGTTACACTCAGATCCACTACCCCTTCAATCTCTGTTATACGGTTGATACTGATCTCTGTTCGATCTTGGTTCATGATCGACAACTCTCTTAGACCTGTCATTAGTTCTGATGAGATAAACGGACCCGGAGGGTGCCCCGAGCTGATCGTCCTCGACTCTGATCTTTGATTGGTACCTATTATGGACGTCAACCCAAGTTAACGCCGGGTATTCTATCAAATTCTGCTTCAGCTACTGTGAAATTAAGGAACTTTAGGGGTGGAGTCCTTGAGTGAACGCCCGAACGGCCCAATAGTTTGCAACCGGAGGCAGGTCCATTTGTTCCATTTGAAACCTCGACATGAATTCCCTGAGCATTTCGTTATCTCTTTGTTTTACTTTGAAAAGGCCCGATTTTTTTATTTCGACCTTGATGGACCCGGCGTGCACTTTTACAAAGGCATTTACAAGCATAGAAAAGGAATCAATAGAATTAGGGGGTAAGTTGTGATGCCATATCATTGCTCCTTTTGATAGGGTAAGTTGTGATACCATATCATTGTTCCTTTGGACAGGGTTTCTCCGAACTTTATCAACAAAACCGACTCGATTTCGTCATCTTCTAAGTCGTTTCCTTTGATGGCACACGTGTAGGAGGTCATGTGTTCATTTGGATTCGTGGTTCCATTATACTTCAGAATTTTGGGCATACGAAACTTCTTCGAGATTGGCTTCGGTGCCATACTTGGGAGGAAAGGCCTTTGGTTTCTTAGAGTCCAGGCCTTTCAATATCGGGGGCGCTCCTGGGATTTGATCAACTCTGGAGTTATAGATCTCCACTTTTTTATCGTTGGCCTTAAATTTCTTCTCCCCCGATTCTACCCGCTTTGTCAGTTCCTCAAGCACCTTTATTATTTCGGGGTTGGTCCCGGGCTCAACTTCACCCAACTTTTCCTTGACTTGTTCATTTCTTCGGGTGTTTTTCCAGGATGGTTCGGGCTCAACTCTGTTGGGGGCGCGACTTTGGTTTTGTAGTTGGTCTATCGTTGCTTGTTGGGCTTGTAACATTTCGGAGATAACCCGTAGACTGATCTCGTCGCCTTCACCGTCGTGCGTGCCCCGAGCTGTTGAACGGGCTCCTTCACGAACGTTGTTCTCGTGGTCGGTCGGCTGGTTTGCATCGATGGCCACATGTGAGTTGGCATCGATTGGGTCTGCAACCGGGACTTTGTTGGGGTCAGCAGGGGGCACCTCGTTGCTAGGTACTATATTGTGGTTTTCGCCATGGTGGCCAGACTCAGCATCAACGATCAAGTGAGCAGATTGAGAGTTTGACATTCTCAAATTACCACTATTATCCTTATCCCCATGGTGGGCACCAAACTGCTTACCCTTAAAAATGGATAACTATTAAATTTATACACAATTTTAAGGATATGTGAACTAATTCAATACAAGTGATTAGCAACGTTATATGATTCAAATTAAAGATAGAATAAATGGCCAAACCAGTAATAGTGCTGAGTTCGGGCTTGGTTGCGAGTGAAACAATTAGCCTGCCTTCGATTCGGAATCAAATACTTATGAAGGGCTATGAACAAAATTAAGAACTTTGAATAACCTCTAGAAGCAGAGAAAAAAAATGTATATTGCCTTGTTATGCCTGTTACAATGTCCCTATTGAATAATCAGCTCCCCATTTATGTAGTAGGGGAATTTTACCCAAAGTACAATTCTAAGAAAGGTACAAATCTTCTTTTTCACTAATCATGGAACTGCTTTCGATACGTGCCGAGATTCACGCTGTGATATCCGATTGGACGCGAATATGACAACCTTTTGTTAATCGTGGGCGGTCATTCGGTAATGCTCTCTAAGGTCTTGGAACTCGAACTGGATCCGAGGGGCGTGTTCTCGATGGCTCCGAGGGCAGGTGGTTTGCTCGGGACTTGATACGAGAGGCTCCTGACTTCGATTCTGATTCCTTGTAGTCAAGTCCTTGCTTCGTTTTCCTCGTTGGGAAATCCGGGTGCTCATTACCCCAGTTTTACCCGTATACACTTGTAATATAGATATGTCTCAAAAAGCTTCATTAAGAAATAAATGAAATATATTTTGGTTAGGCCAAGACCTAGCTAGTGTATTTTACTTCAGAATGCAACACCAAACTTAATAAAGAAGCAATAAGTCTATTGCTTAATTACTAGATACGTATGAAATTCTCCACTCTCCTCAAAATTTATCCTACCTGTGACTTCAATTCTAAGTTTCAAGAGTTTAATATTGAAACATGTGAATGAACTATTAAACAAAAAATTGTGGAGAAGAATTTCAAATAATAATTCTAATGAAAGATCAAATTAAAGTCTCTCGAATAGATTTGAAGTGAATATAAAATATTGTTTTTTCCATTCCAAATCGAATGTATTACATTGACTTTCCACGATTATTAACAGAAAAATTAGTACCATTTGAGTTAATATGCCGGGATACATATACGTTCTTTTGGCTTTTTAAAACAAAGTAGAGAAATAGGAAAGATTAGAAGTGTGTCTCACTTAACTTTTTATGATTATTATACATAGAAAGGTTTTATTCTAACTTATCTGGGAGCGGAATCCTCACCCGAACTCTTTTTTCCATTTACATGCAGTACACTACTGCTGGATACTTACTCATAGAAATAAGTAATGAAGAAAGTATTCTTTCAGCAGCAGAAGAATAGAAACGAAAGCGGAGCAAGAAGGAAGAGCAAAAATGAAGAGATTAAAAGTTAACATATTGAACAAAAAATATAGTAGGGAGGGCCTGTGAATGTAACGGAAGAAAATTAACAAGTTAGTGTCTATTGCACGGATACGCTTTTAAACTTAGAGGTGACCATATATATTAGAGTTTAAGTTATATATATCGTTAGTGTAAGGAATATTTACACTACCACATCATATTTATTTGTTGTAATAGGTAATCCGCCTTATTTTCAAGATTTAAGCGTTGGTACGTATACAATATGTTTACAATATTTTTCCACCAAATTTTTTTTCCTAATTCTAAATATAGTGGCTCTGTTAGAAAATTATATAGTAATAAAATCCTTTTTCTTTTTATCAGCTCAGCGATCCACGTTTGGATAAGTTAACAACAGTAGGGATCGGATCGGAATAGCTCTTTACCTTTAAACGAGAATATATTAACGTTTGAATACAGCTTATGGTGTAATGAGTATATGTAATGGTTAATGTCAAAGGCCGAGAGAATTATCCATGTAGTTGAGAATTGACAATTAAGTAGTTATATTTTAATGGTGTAACACTGAAATATCACCTGGTCCTTCTCTCATTCCTTACTAAGCCTCTTCCACCTTCCAAATAAAGGGGAAAACGAACATTTCCTCGCATTTAGTTGGAGTATATCCAAAACCAATCATCTGCATTGATCAGTTACTGTCCACTGCATCATTTTAGAGGTGTCATAACTCAAACAAGTATGCTAAATGGTCGGATTGCCATGCAAATTAAGGTTACAACTCTCTCTTAAGCCCTATATAAAGCTCCCCTTACCATGTCAATTCAATCATCCATCTTCTCTTTGGTAACAATAAAACTAATAAACACCGACGAGAGGAGTAACCTCGAGTTGTTGATCACTATATATCATCTTTCCTTTTTTCCTTCTACATTATTCTATAGGAAAGAGGGAAAGAAATTATATATATCTCAAAAAAAAAAAAAAACGAGAAAAATTAAAGAAGAGAAAAGATGGTGGGGAAAATAGTGGTTTCGTTAGTATCCTTGATTCTTCTAGTTGGTGTGATAATAGGAGTGGTGGTGGTTGTACACCAAAATGGGAATCACAAAGAAGATCAAAGCACCAAAGTCCAAATGAAGAAAGTGCATGAGTTTTGTCAAGCAGCTGAATTTAAAGACTCATGTGCCAAGAGTCTTGAATCTGTAGCCAAAAACGATACAGCTACAATTAATGACTATCTAATGGCAGCCTTCCAAACTACAGTGGAAGAAGTGAAGAAAGGACTGCAGGAGGCTGGGAAGACTTCTGTGAACAAAGACAGCGATCCTTACAATCACATGGCAATAGAGGATTGCAAGGAGCTGTTGCAAAGAGCTGTCGAAGAACTTGAGGACGCGCTCAGCTTGGTTGGAGAGACCGACACTGAATCACTAAATGAATATACATATGATCTGTTGAACTGGCTCAGTGCCGTCTACTCCTACCAAAGCATGTGTGTTGATGCCATCGACAAGCCCGAGTTAAAAACCGCTATTCAAAATGGCGTTGTCAATGCCACACAACTCACTAATAATGCACTCAACATTGTAGCCAAGATTTCAGACCTCTTCCCATCCTTCAACATTCAAATTCCTGATAATCTTATCAACAGCAGCGACAGCAACTCACCTCATCGCCGTCTCCTTGAGGCGAACAAGATCGATCAGGACGGTTACCCTACATGGTTCCCCGTTGCTGACCGTAAGCTATTGGTAAAATCCGGAAAAGGAAAAGGACAAGGTGGTGCTGCTGCTGGGGCTGCTCCAGTACTTCCTCCAATCGGTCCCGGACCAATTACTCCTCACGCAGTAGTTGCCAAGGATGGCAGCGGCAAATTTAAAACCGTCACTGATGCAGTCAGAGCATACCCACCAAACCACCAAGGTAGATACATTATCTATGTCAAGGCCGGCGTTTATAACGAACAAGTCCTTATCGATAAGAAACAAACAAACGTGTTTATGTATGGTGATGGCGCAGGGAAATCTATCATCACTTGTGACAAAAATGTTAAAATATCGAAATTCACCACCTCCAAAACTGCTACAGTCGGTAAGTACATATATACTCCCATTGGAAATTAAAACCATGCATGCATTAAATGAATTAAAGAGTTTAAGTAGTTGTATATATATTGCAGCTGTTGAGAGCGAGGGGTTCATAGCGAGAGGAATTACCTTCCGCAACACAGCGGGTCCAGAAGGGGAACAAGCCGTGGCACTTAGAATCAACGGAGATAGGGCGGCCGTATTCGACTGCAGTATGGAAGGATTTCAAGACACCCTGTACTATCAATCCCATCGCCAGTTCTACCGCAACTGTGTCATCTCTGGTACAGTGGATTTCATATTTGGCATGGGCTCGGCGGTCATCCAGAACAGTGAGATCATTGTGAGGAAGTGTGGCCCGAAACAGAAGAACACAGTCACAGCTGACGGCAGGGAATTGCCGAGTGAAATCACTGGATTGGTATTGCAAAACTGCAGGATAGTACCAGACAAAGAACTCTTCCCAGTGAGGTTCGCGGTAGAATCTTACTTGGCCCGCCCATGGAAGCAATTATCCACCAATGTGTTCATAGAAAGCGAGATTGGTGATTTCATTAGGCCAGAAGGATATCTCAAATGGGACGACCACCCATTCCATCAAACATGTTTAGTCTATGAGTATGCAAACAGAGGACCTGGTGCTGCTACTAACCTTAGGAACAAACTTTTCAAGAATTTCAAGGTCCTTAGCCCACAAGAAGCAACTAAATACACGGTTGGGGCTTGGCTTAGAGGTAATGAGTGGTTGCCTGGAACTAATGCACCTTTCTACCTTGGTCTTGGTGGGAAATAATTAATTTAACCACATTCCTACTTCTCAACCCTATATATATTTATTTATGCATATTATATTGCATAGGATTCGTTTTTGTTGGAGAAGAATCGATCATAATTGTAAGTAATTAGAAATTACATATGCTATATGACAACATATTTCATTTTTGTGAATGTAATAAGGCCATTATAAATTTCAATGTTACTATTTGTTTTGATATATGTTCCTTACTGGTGTCATTAATTGTCCTTCTAGATATTCAGAATAATTTTTCTTCTTACTTACTGTTGGTGATTTCCGCTGCTTAATCCTTTCTTCATCGTGTCAAAAGCCATCGACTTGCACCAAAATAACAATTATTAAGTACTTATATTTGTCACTGATTGAGAATCTCAGATGAGGACCAAAAGAAAGGTGGAATAATACACAGGATAAAAGAAGAAAAATTAGAATAAAAAGTGAGTTAGCAGAGAGAAAGGACTAAAACTAAAGTTTTGTATGCACCAAGATGTGAGTAAAAATTGAAAAAATAACACGGGAGTTAACTTGAAAGAACGAGAAAACAATTATATGGAATACATATTTACAAAGGCAACGTAAAAATTCAGGATAATATGCTGGTAAATAGGGATGGCAATTGGGCGGGGCGGTTTTTCTTTAATGCGGGACGGGTGGGTTTGCTCTTATGCAGGGGCGGGGCAGGTTGAAACCAATTTAATTTTTTAAAAGCAAGGCGGGGCAGGTTTGATGCAGGTTGAGTGCGGGTTCAACTGCTATTTTACATTCTTTTTTCGGCTAGCAATATTATTTTAGGTTTCTATCCAAAGAAAGTATTCTTATTTTTGCATCTTGTAATTATATATATTTTCATTAATATTTTTGGTAGTAAAAACAATATAATGGTTACTATTCAACAATGTTCATATCGAGAAACATTGTTACGAACTGTTAGAAGGGATACTTTGTATTTCTAAGATTTGTTTTGTTCCAGCTCACCTTTTGTCTTATATAATTATGTCCTCTTAAGATAATCAACTGACTGGCGGTTTATCATTTATGGCTTCAGAAATAGTAGAACTACTCCATTCCCTTTAATCCTCATGTACCTATTTGCAAGTTTTCTTCTCTCCACTAAGATTCCTAATTGAGAAAGAACGAACTGAAAAACAAAATATTATGCGTATAGCAACTAACTAATTAGTTGATAGAATCTTGTTTCTCTTATTTCATGGACAATGTAGAATTTCACTAGACGACAAAAGAAAATATAAGTGCTTGAATAATATTAAACTCATCATTTAGAAATAATAATAAAATGTCAAACTAGTTTCTCTTAGAAAAAATAATAGGAGAAAATTTAAGCGGGCAGGTTGTAAACAGAAAAAATAGCTATGCGGACGGGGCGGGTTGAAATTCTTGTGGGTTAAGCCAAACCCACCTTGCACCCGCCCCACTGCCATCCCTACTAGTAAACCGCAATATATTGTATTCTACATGTACAAAGTAAAATCAAACTATTACCAAGTGATGTTTTATACTTCAATGTCACATAAGGGGGGAGGGGTAGTGTCCAATTTTCACGTGCACAGATTATAAAAGGACCTGGTTCTTTTATGTGTCTCCTTATACTACTATTGCGAAAATAATAAATGCGGAAAGTAAAGAACACAAGTATTTTACGTGAAAAACACCCGGCTCAAAAGGTGAAAAAACACGACCTACTACTCAGTAGGATTTTCCCCAACACTTCACTAAATCACTAGCCAAAATAGCATTTACAAAATTCTTTGTAAACTTAAGGATTACCTCTAATCCCGTTGTCAAACCAGCCCCTAACTGTTGCGACAACTTCAAGTTAACTCTAACTTGAATACCCAGAGTACCTAATACAATTACTTATAGATAAAGCTAAAAGGTACAATTTGAAAATACCTACTGCAATGAAACTAGAATAAAAGAAAGACACTTGGAACTGGTTCTTCTATCTGGTTCATGCAGCTTTAGGTTTGCGCACTTGAATCACACAAGAATTGCTTGCAAAATGTCTTGCTATTTTGCTCTCAACTCACGTTTAACTTCAGTTTTTATGTGTGCCTGTAAAGTGAGAACATTCTGTAATTTATAGAGTTAGTAAAATATGAAATAACTAGAGTTCCAATGCTATACTCTTCCTTGGTAGAAGAGTTCTAGTTATCTTCAACTTCTAACCCTTCTCTTATCTTGGATAAAGTTCTTTTCGAATAAGAAGTCCTTCTCCTTATCACTTATGCAACCTTTTTGATTAGGAGATATCAGTTATAACAACTTAGGCTTATCTCCTTCACGTGCATCCCTTATACTCGAATTTGCCTGTGTCTGTATGTACTGTGTACGGACCTGGTTCATGCTTGAGTTCTTTGTCAATCATTAAAATAAACTTCACTTAGGCCAAAAAATTCCCCTTTTTTGATGATGACAAACTCTGTGCTCTTCATAAGCATAGGCTCTGTTTCAACTCAGCTTAACATCAACACAGTGTTAGAATACTTTCTATTTTAAAGTGACAAATCATCAAGGACCAGATTCATTAGGTTATAAACATCACAATCCAAAGTAAAATAACAACCTAATTTTCCCCTTTTGTCATCATCGAAAAGTTGCATAATTATGTTAGATAACCAGATTTTAATAGAAATTACTCTTAGCCGCTGGGGCTACTTCAAATGCAAATATGGAATCAAGCATCATCTATCAATCTAATGATATTAGCCATCTAAGAAGCATCAACAAACAGTTAAAACACAAAAACAATTGATTATCATTGATACTAGTCATCCACAAAGCATAAAGAGAAATAAAAATATTAGATCATGAGCAAAAGAAAAAAAATCCCATCTGGGTCACTGGTTGGTCTAACTAGGCTAGGAGGTCTTAAGGCTGGGAATGACCAGGTTCTTAGTTCTTGGCTTGAAGCAGTTTCATCATATCCTGAAGAATGCCATCATTCTTCTCCTTCTCCTTTGCAAGCTCAGCTCTGAGAGCATCTCTCTCAGTTTCTACTTCTGCCAACCTCTTCTTCAGCATCCTTAGCCCCACTTTCGTGCACCAAGACTCACACTTTGCTGTTTACAGGTACCTTTTTGGATGAACCAGGTTCTTTGGGGGTGGTGTGGAGTTCATAGTCACAAACAGTCAGAGTGTTTGTCCCAAAGTGATCCTTGCTTGTACCAACTTCCCATTTCTTGATGGGTACCTTGAAGTGTGCAAGTACAGCCGTGAGAATAAAACCATAGGGTATGACATGAGTTTTGGTGCCAGTCAGAACCCTATCAAGAAGCTGGATGATAAATTCAGGCCAATTTATTTGCCTTCCACTTTCCAAATATTCCATAAGGACTAGGTCCATGAATGTGGCAATGTGCCTCCTTTCCTGCCTAGACAGCACAATTGTTAACAAATTCGAAAATACTTTGTGGGGTGGCTTCATCTCACTTTTGTATATGGCCTTGGGCTGAAGTTCTTCATCATTGTCACCAAACTTCTTTGTAATTGTAAGGGAGTAGGGAGGTTCTCTATACTTGGCCATTTGAGCTTCTTGTAATCATTTTACCTTTCAGAAGGTACACCTAAGATCTCTCCCAATTTCTTGTCATCAAAACTCACTTTAACCCCTTTCACCACACTGGTGACTCTGCCATTTTTGATCTTACAATTTGCCATGAACTTCACAATCTCAGTTCTGACAAATTTCACATCCATCTAAAGGACCATGTCCTTCCACCCCTATAATTGTATGTTAGTTTGTATGAGTCCACCAAACTATGGAGTACCTGGTCCTATATGAGATGATGTTGAGGATGCTATAGAAACTAAAAGTAAAGAAGACAAGAGAGTTTTACGTGGAAAACTCCCACACAAGGGGATCAAAAAACCAGGACCTACTCTTGTAGGTTTTTAACTTCACTAACTTGCAATCTCCCTATTACAAGCCAATTTGCAATAACCCTATTACAAAGACTTCAACTAACTTGTGATGCTCTCACCACAAGCTACTTTATAACTATCCTAGTTACAAAGGCTTTAAACTTATGACTATTCCTAGTCACAACATAAACTCAGAAGTTTACGGATTTTTGTTTTTTCCTAAGACAGCTTCTAAGAAAGCAAACTAGGAAATACAATGAAGAGCAAATGACAAGATTACAACTCAACTACGGATGTACATAAACTCATTAAGAAACCGATCCTTAGTGGAGTTGTCTTCTTGTTCTTGACACACCAGTGACTTCAATGCCGGAGGAACACTGTTATGCTTGAGAGAATATCACTGAATGCACACAAATGTTGTGCTTTGCACCAGGTTGTTATATCACAATAGATAGTGATGGCAATTCTTGGTACACGCTTCTTCCCAATGAGAAGTGACTGTTGTACTGTCTGTACAGCCACTTCTATGCAATTGCATTCCAGTTGGATAGTCGATTTGTACTTCTGTCAGAGAACACTAACGGACCAGGTCCTAGTTGTGTTCCTCTTTTGTAACAGTTGCGAGATGGTCACTTTCTACTGCTACGTTCCAGCTGTATAGTTGACTTGTACTTCTGTCAGAGAATCCTAAAAGACCAGGTCACCAGGTCCCTGTTGTGTTCCTCCATGTGGTCGTTCATTCATTTGCTGGTTTTCAGACTTGAACCAGGTCAGTTGAAATGTATACCATATAGGCCATGTTCTCTATCTGGTTCTTTATAACAAGTTTGTTAGATCATCAAAACATAAGAAGCATACGGCCAAGACATTGAAAACCTATAAATTTCCCCATTTTTGATGATGACAAACTTAGTCATGGATAGTATTTATTTAGAGAATAAATAACCAGATAAGGTACCAGAAACTACACAAAGTTACCCCTTAATCTCAGAGCTCTCCTGAAATTTGATATTCCCACATAAGGTTCCCCCTGAATCTTACATTCTATTTCCCCCTTTTGCCATCATTAAAAAGAGCACAAGCAGGAATATAGCATAAAGAAGTCTAACACAGCTAGCTCATGCCACATATGTGCACATAACATGGCAGAAAAGAGAAGCCAGAGGAACACAACATTGTACAGGCAAAAAGGGGAGCTGTTTTATTTATGTTTATAATGGACTGAGCAAGACATGAGCAGTAATGATGAATTCCAGCATGCCATCACAAAAACAAATGTAAACAAAAACAAAAATAA